ATATATATATATATATATATATATATATATATACTAATTACTTTTAATTTTTATTTTAATATATTTTAAAAAATAATAATTTACTTTAATAGTTTATGGTTTTTGTTATTTTTTAAAAATTTATTTATTTTGTGTGTTATTGATTAGAGTTTAGGTTTTACTTATTTGTTATGGTTTAGAGTTTATTTATTTATTCTCTTTAAATTTAATTATTTGTTATGTATTGGTTGAATAAAGCCTAATCCAAAATTAGTTTTGCATTCATCTCATCTTATAAATTTACTTCTTTACATTTCTAAAGTCTTTTCTATATATTTTTCATTTTCCAAAATATCTCTATTATATTTACACAAATCAAAATGCGTATAAAAACATAGATAATATATACTCAATTTCAAAATAATTATTCTAGAATATAAATAATACATTTCAAAACAATTATTTCGAAGGAATCATTTCAAAGTATAAAAAAAATAAAAAATGACTGTTATGAAATATTAATAATACGCCCCTATTAAAAAACGATCGTTTACAAACACATGTGTATTCTATTTCAATAAAATAATTATAATATGAAAAATACACATTTGCAATGATCCCGTGTAAAATATGAAGAGAGAAATACTTTTCATAATATTCATTTTATAATGTTATAATATGAATGGCCAAGTAATTAAGAATTGTATCGAATTTCAATATAAATTGTTTAGCATAAGTTGAATGGATTTGTTAATCTATTTTTTTTTCTCTTTTAATTATTAAAAACAATATCCTGATAAAAGTTGTAGTATAGAAAATATTTATTATTAATATGGTTATTGACTTATCTCAAATGATTTTAGGTTTCACAAATTACACTTGATAATAATTTGCCAAGAAAGTAAATATACAAGAAGAAATCGAGGAAACAATGCTTCCAAATTATTAGGAAGGTTTTAAGGGCGTGAACGAAGAAGCTGATGACTGAGGTTGTACTTGCAATAACACCAATGTTACGTGGCTTCCTATTTTATTTTTATTTGCTTTTTGGTACAATCTCTTCTTGCCGTTGCCACCTTCGTGGCTGCTTCCATAAACTACTTAAATGGTTTGATCCATTTCTTATTCTATATATTTGTTGTCACTGTTCAAAACCCACTTGCACACTTCAATATACGGCCTTTCATTTATGGTTGACTTCTTTAACCTCATATTTTTGCAAATTAAAATTTAATCATACTTAACCTATTTAAATGCAGGTTTATCCAGTTTAGTAGCGTTTAAGCCAGTTTTTTTTTTTTTACTTGAAAGCCACCTTTTTTATATGAAATAAAATAGAAGCATTGTTTATCGAATCTCATTCTGTTACAGATTAAAACATGGTGTCCGTATAATTAGCAGGAGGGTAGTAGTTGCGGAGTGGAGTGTCACACATTCTATTTAACTTGTTTTATTAATGAAGAGTATCAGGCATTCTGATTTGGGTGCATTAGGGTAATAATAGTGATTATTGATTGAAACATGTTGATGCACGTTGGAGCAAGACAGACAGAAGATTTAGGTTGGAGCAAAACATGCGGTGAGTGTCCCACGGAAAGACATGCGGCGCCGTTGTATTAAAGGTCTCCCACTCCGCCTCCTCATTCTCCTCTTAACAGTTAATCTGAAAACCCTAAAACCCTAAATCGAAGTAAGAAGTGCATGGTACCAAAAATCCTTGTTGGTCCTCGTACAGTGTCCCTTGGTTTGTGTAAAGAGACACGCTGACAAACCAATTACAGTGTGTGCGTTGTGTGTGCCCCCACACGCCTTTTTAGGACGGATCTGTGTATGTTTGGCATAAACCACGTCTCTTCTCCCTACACTTTCAACCATCTTTTTCTATTCCCCTCAACCAACCTGTCTTACAATTCTTTATTGTTTCTTGCAGGCGTTCAGCATTTTGTCTATCTTTCTTTTCCTTTTTTCATGGAATTCCATATTTCAAATATTTTGTATGTATGTATCTTCTGCACATAATACGAATATATGCTGTATTCGTATTAGTAAACCCTGGAACGTGTTTTCATGGCTCCCAACCCCACTTTCTCCTTTCCAGTTTTATATTTCTTACAAATAAGAATATTGTTCATAACTTTTTAAATACATTGTAAGAGAATGGTATTTCTTAAATATGGTATCGGACTAACTATTCCTTCAAAATCTCATAATATAAGTAAGATTAAATCATACAATTAACCACGAATATTACCTAAAATATTGATCACATTGTAAAAGAATGCATAATACTATTTGTAAAGAACTAACATTAAATATGATTAGTAGATTACTGCATACAATTTGTGTAATTATATATCTATTTTAATATAGATCTTATTTAATAATTTATTGTGAATAAATATTTCGATACTTTCGTACACATTTTGTCAAGTATAATAATGACTTGTATTTTTAAGTTGATGTAAAAACTTTCGTTTATTCTTATATATTTGTCTATTTAAATATTTGACAATTTGTACAAGTTAGATTATGGCTCAAAGTTATTAATTAATACTCACACAAAACATCATTAACTAATTGGTATTTTTTTAGACTATTTGAAAAAATATATTTAATTATCGTTAATAATTTCTCAACTTATTATGACTGTAAGGTTTATTTTATTATCGAATCTTACAAGTTTATCTCCATACCTAATATTTTTTTTTAAATTGAGTTTTTTTTTTCGAATGGGATAAATAATATCTACTTAATATCCCAAGTACACATCACATTTGTTAGGTATTTATTTTGTATATTGCGTTGAATTAATTTAAAGTATGCATTGCCAAAATAAAGACAAAAAATATATAATATATTTATATTTTTAAAATTACAAATAAAATATATTAAATTACATATAATATTTAAATTAAATATCACTATTTAATTTTTATCTTTAAACAATATATAATTAATATAAAAATAATTCTGTTCACGATATATTAATATATTTTGTTATATCTTTTGAGATAAAATTAAACGTTAATAATGTAATATAAATTATCTATAATCATTAAATATTATAAGATTAAACTCAATACATAAAAAATAAATCATATAATACAAATAAATTTTAGTTAATCTATAAACATATAATGTTAAAAGTAAATAATTAAATAAAAAGTGAAAATAATATATATAAAAGGTTGTACTTATATTAAATAATACATACATACTGGTTATGTCTGTTGTGTACTACAAATAAGAATAATATCTTAATTCAAAGCACTTTTTATTATTTTGATTATATTATTTAATATTTCACTTTTTTACTGTTAGTTGATGATAAAGGCTAAAAAAATTAGAAAACTAAAATTAATAAACACTCATGCTACAATAAAATCAAACAATATAATAAATATAATAATAATAATAATAATAACAATAATAATAACAACACCAGTGATAATAATAATCAATTTAAAATTACATAAAATTTGGAAATAATTTGTAATGTAATTAGTTTGAAAAAGACAACAACTGAGGGAATATGTAGTTAAAAATTTTCGATATATTTCTTAAATATATAAGCTTCCATCATCTTATGTTTTAATGATACATTAAGTGATAATTATTGAATATTATTCTTAAAAGTGTAATATTCATGTATATATAATTGAAAAGTACATTAGAGATATGATAACTAAATTGATATCAATTTGAAAATATGTTAAATAATTTGGAGAGATACATATTAAATCCACACTAAAACTCCCAAAACAATAACTGATTGCATTTAAGCTAGTTAATTATATTTATACAAGAAATATTATCCTGTACTCATAAATTTAAATACATATGAATATTTTGAGTGAGTTTTCCTCTTCTTTCAAAGCAAAACTTATTTTATTAATAAATAGAAATATTATTAACATTCAAACACAATTACTGTTAAAATCACTTCATTATCAATAATTTTAAACAATTCAAGATATTTTAATTGGACGATAAAAAGTTGTAATGATTTTTTACAGAAAAAAATAATAATTAGGATAAAATTACTAAAATACCTACATCCTGTAAATTGTAATTGTTATTTGGCATTTTTATATTTTAAAAATATAATATACTTTTTTATTGTTAATTTTATAAAAAAAAAATAAAACTAATAGCAGTACAGTAAGATTTTATGGAGACAAAAGTAAAATTTATTATGTAAATATGAAACCGGGGACAAATTTCTACCATATATTTCTTAAATATTATATATATTTAAATAAAAAACTGATTAAAATTTTATAATTTATCAAAAAAAATTGTTCTATATGTGTTGATCAATGGTTAGTAATTAATTGATTAAAATTAAAATGAAAATAAGCAAAGATAAATACCAAGATAAAAATAATACAATAAAAAAATTAGTATAATAACCAAAAGAGAATATCAAAGAATGAGGAAAAGCAACTAAGAAGAATGAAATGCTAAAAGAAAAGTCAATCCAAGCGGTGTTATCACGTGCGGACGTCATCATTGAGGTGGCAAAATCTCACCTTAATTACCAAGTTTACTCGTAACTCAATCCCGCCACGTGGCTCTACCTCTCTTAATATGTTCTTACCTGTTGAGTAGAGAGAAAGCAATGCGACATGCACAGGTCCCACGTGTTGTCCATGCTGGATTGCTAGTCACGCTAATTGGTTTTAAAGGACACGAGTTATTCTTGTTTAATCAAAGATTAAACCGCTAATTAAACGATTTAACAAAATTATGGGTGTGACTTCAAACAGAACAACTAAATTAGAAAGTTGGGTCAGCGGCAGGCGCTAGTCACGCCATGTGACAGCACTGTGTGTGTTTTCTTTCCTGTGTTTAGAGATGCTAGGGATACCCTATACTAAATATATTAAATTATATCAATAAAAAAATATCTTTAAATATTGGTGCCAGATATATATAAGGGTGTTTCTTTGTAAACACGGAGGCAAATAGAGAGAGAAACAGAGTCACTGTTTGTTGCACACTGGGTTAAGGGAAGGAGAAGAAAAAAAGAAAGACTGGTAAATTTTCATTCTGGTTCTGTTTTGTTCTCATACAGATACAGGAATCTTCCTCCTCTCTTTTGAAGAACCGCAAAAGGAAAATGGAATGGCCGGCGTGCACGGATGAATACGAAAAGCTTGTGATACGAATGAGCACTCCCAGGTTTGCAAATCATTATACCATTTGTTGCCTCTTTGTTTCTTTTAGTTGAGACTAAAGTTTGTAATTCTCCATGTTTTGAATGGATCTGTAAGTTTTGAAGCTGATTTTGTGTAATCTTAAGCCATCAGTCTGTTGACTCTGGTTTTGTGTTGATTTATGGGCACGCTATATGATTTTCTGCAAAAAATTATCATTAAACTATGTTTTTTTTTTCTTACTCCCACTGGTCGGAACCCCCTTACTGATAATTCCAAAGCAGGTGCTATTTTTTCTTGTGTTAGTTTATTTTCCAGCCAAATCCCTTTTTGACAGACAAGAATTTTTGGTGTCTATGCTCTTTGCATTTGTTCCTTCTTGCTTCCAATATTTCAAAAGATGTATATTTTTTTAAAAAAAAAAAGTCACACCGACTTTTGAATTTGATTTGTCTGCTGCTACTATTTAACAGGTTTTTGACTTTTCTAATTGCGTATGGCCTCCTGCTCTTGTGAAACGTCACTGTTCCCTTTAGTGCATTCTTTGTATCTTAATGTTTGGAAGAAAAATCACGGACAGATCAATTTTGCTAATTCTGAATTTTTCTTTTATTTGAAACAGGGTTGTTATTGACAATTCCGTGTTCTCTTCAGCTACTCTTGTCAAGGTAACCTCCCTACGAAACTCTTGTCCAATGAAAACAAGTTGTTCTAAAAATATTTGGATTTCATGGAAAGAAAGAATAATTAATTAACAGTAGTCTTTTTTTTCAATGAATTTCACAGGTTGACAGTGCTAGAAGGCATGGTATTTTATTGGATGCTGTACAAGTGCTCATCGACCTGGACCTTTCTATAAAGAAAGCCTATATTTCTGCTGATGGCAAATGGTGTATGGATGGTAAGCTAATTGTTATTTCATTTTTTTCATAATTATTTTGGTTGGGGATTCTTCTCCTGAAATGGGTAAATGCCCTGTGCACTTATATTTTTTTTGCCTGTTCAATTGACAGTTTTTCATGTCACTGATCAATATGGACACAAGATAACGGACGATAAGGTTTTAAAATATATTGAGCAGGTATTAATGGTCTTTACAAGTTTTAAATGAATTACAATTTAAATGTTACCAGATATGTTTTTAAATTGTGCTTATTGTGTATCTAATCTGATTTTTCTCACTACAGTCACTTGGGAGCATTCAGTATGGAAGAACCGACAGTTCCAATGGTCTCACTGCGCTGGAATTGACAGGAACTGACCGAGTTGGTCTTTTATCGGAGGTGTTTGCCGTACTGGCTGATCTTCAATGTGATGTGGTTGAGGCAAAGGTTTGGACTCACAATGGCCGTATTGCTTCCTTAATCTATGTAAAAGATTCTAGTTCTGGGTCTACTATTGAGGACTCTCAGAAAATTAAGAAGATTGAATTGCGCTTAAGAAATGTTTTGAAGGGAGACAATGACATTAGAAGTGCAAAAATTTCTGTTTCTATGGCTGCGATGCACACTGAAAGAAGGCTACACCAAATGATGTTTACAGACCGTGATTATGAGAGGACTCCCATTCTTGAGGTTACTTCTGATAACCCAGTAGTGACGGTTCAGAATTGGGCAGGAAGAGGCTATTCAGTCGTGAATGTTCAGTGCAAAGATCGAACCAAGCTTTTATTCGATGTTGTATGCAATTTGACAGACATGGAATACGATGTTTTTCATGCAACTATTAACACAAATGATGACAGAGCATACTTGGTGATTATTCTATTTCCTTTCCTCAAAAACTAGTTTATTCCCCTTTCTTAATTTGTGTTACTTAAGTTTGTTCTGATCTTCACTGTAGGAGTTTTATATAAGACACAAGGATGGCACTCCAATTAGCTCAGAACCAGAGAGACAACGTGTAATTCAATGCCTAAAAGCTGCTGTAGAGAGAAGGGCATCTGAGGTACAGGCCTCCTTCCTCTGGCGATTGTTTTGTTATTACTTTACCTTCTGATATAAAGTGAAGATTTTTAATTTTTAATTATTTGATTGTAGGGTGTTCGGCTAGAGTTATGTAAAGAAGACAGGCAGGGGCTTCTGGCAGAAGTAATGAGAACTTTCCGCGAGAATGGGCTCAATGTGACCAGGGCTGAGATATCCACTGTAGGGAATATGGCTACAAATGTATTCTATGTAACGGACGCCATTGGAAATCCAGCTGAGACAAAAAGTATTGAATGTGTTAGGCAGAAAATTGGGTTAAGCTATTTAGAAGTGAAGGAATTGCCGTTGGTAAATCATCAGGAGATACAGAGAGAGGATCAAGCGGTTGGAATTGGTGGGGCAGTGTTGTTTTCCATAGGGAGTCTGGTGAAAAGAAATCTGTTTAGTTTGGGATTAATCAAATCCTGTTCCTGAGCCAGGCTATTAAAACAGAGGAATTTAGGGGTGAGGTTTTCTATGCAATCTTTTTGTAGCATATTATTCTTTGCTTCAGATATGGGTTGTGTGCAGAAAAGTTGGAAGGTAGAATTTGGTGATGGCGGTTGTTTTAGTTGGTTGGGTTGGGTTTGGTAGGTGGAAACGGATAGTTAAATGTACAGCTGTGGTGGATGGGGTGCCCACCGTTTTAAATGCTCCTTTTAATTACAATATATTTTGGTTAATGCGGAAAGGTGTTCAGCTCGGTTGGGAAGGTTGTTAATGTGAGAAAGAATATAGAATTAGATTCCTGGTGGCAGAGGCACAAGTTTAGGTAGGAGACAGAACAAATTGGGTTCATTGTTCCTTTAGCACTAGCCTCATCTGTACATATCCACATTTCCTCCCATGTTATCAGTATTCATTTTACTGCTTTACTATTTTTAAATTCAACTCTCCCTTCTTTTCCCTTTTCTCACTCATTTCACCCCAAAAAGATTATTCTAATTGAATGCTTTTTATATTTATTTGTTATCTCTTGAAAACTATAAATTTTTGAAAAATAAAAATGAACTACATATAATTTGTTCACATTTTTTATGTTGGACGGTTTAAGTAGGCATTAGCATTTGGCTTGTCTTATTTGTTGATAAGGTATTGAAAACAAAAATAATTGACTGTAGTGTAATATCCCTATCTATTAGAATAAAAGTTAGGCAGTTGTACTTATTTGGAATAAAGTTTTATGAAATAAGGAAAGGGACCGGTATCCTATCGGTGGTTGAAATGATTTTAAATTAAATGAGAATATTAAATAGGGAATAAATTATATATTCTGAATATCTCAAAATGTCAATCTAGATGAAACTAAAAGTATTCTTTTTTGTCTTGTATGTTCAATCTGAAAGTATTCTAGAACAACCAAAACGGTAGTCTGGGTGCATTTTTTTGTTTACACACTCACGCTTTGTTAATTCATTCTCGATTGCTTTCAAAAGAATTTTTCTTGATTATCGTTGCAGAGTGGAAGATACTTAATATTGGGTCTTTAATTAAATTTTGATTAACTTTGAAGACAACCAAAGACATAATCTCATGATTCGTTGCAAAGGGTTTTATGTTTATTATGATCTTTGCATTATGCTGTGGACTTTTGTAAATATTTAATAATAATAATAATAATAATAATTTGACATTATATTAGAAACCATAAATGTAAAATATACATCTATAAATTTTATTTAACGTGCGTTTAGTTTCTATCCACTGTCTAATTTACTTTTATATACTGTTTATTCACAGAAAGCTGATAGTTCGTCAAACAAATTGATAAACTGAACCATTTATTTTTTTTAATCAACCCAACTTTAGAACTTAAAGTTATGAAAATCTCAATTGTATTGTCGTACATTCTTGTTCATTACGGATCAGTTAATATATAAGACATGTATCAGGCCAGTAACCCAATGAATCGATGCGTCCATTGAAGTGTGAATTAGTGACGAAGACGAAAATAAAACAAACGTAAGGTTGATATTTAAAAAACTGGACAAAAAGTACAACAAAAAAAATGACAAAAGAAGAGAAACAAATGAAATGCCAACAACTGGAACCTCCACTAAATATTTTAATGATTTGTTCACCTTTGTTTTATGGTAAGTTTGACAAGCCAGCAGAAAAAAAAAAAGAACCAGTGACTAACAATAACATCACCCAAAACATTTTTTCACTCTTGCAATAATATACAATAAGGAGTTTCTTATTAGCAAGTGATTCGTCTCCTTTATGCAAAAAGGTATATCACAATCAACAAATGTTTGATGAAACATTAAGGCATGTTAAATTAGGCTTAATTCAAATTTGGACTATATATTTTTATAAAACAAGGACTGCGATACAGTATATAAAATGTCTGAACAAGAGGAATGAACAAAAGAGACGGACTTTGTTTTTGTTATTCAGAACAATGTTCTGTTAATGGATTTAAAAGTTCGGAAGGGTTAATTTAAATTTACTTGAGCCAGTTCAAATTTATTTTTATTTCAAAGTTGGATAAAATTTTGTTTTTCAAACTTGTTAAATATAATTATTTTAAACTTAAGACCGTCAAATTTCACATCAAAAATTTTAGAAATTTAAAAAATATTGTTTACTTAAATAAAATAAAACAAAGTTCACTGGAAGGCGTAAAGCCCCTTTAGGGCAGACCTATATATCTCCCCGACGATCCTGTCTACCTATTGCCCAGGCATTTTTTTTAGCATCTTTTAAAACTGTCATTCTTGTTGTTGGTCTCCCACCTTTTCCCCCCTCCCTCCTCTCTCATAATACCAACATGGATTAATCACAGAATGACACGTAAATAGTGTTACAATGTTGTCAAAAAATAAATTATCCTATAAAAGATTGGATACAATGGCAAAGCAAATTATTTCCGTGTGAAACTTTGATGGACTGTTCATACATAAAATATTTTACTTGATTTTCAGTAGGCAGCAAGCCCTTATGGCCCTTTTGGAGACATTTGTGGTCGTTGGCATTTGCAGAAAGCATACGTTTGGAGTATGAACAATGATGCAAAGCCAAGGAAATAACAGTTAAGAAAATGATGTCAGTAACAGATGTTGTTTTCCTTTTCATAGAGTGACCTGATAATCTGATATAACGATAATGACAAGTCACCAAGTTGCACAAATAAATTAGGCTCGTATTTTCAGCTAGCCAACAAGTTTGTTCGTTAAACGTTACAATCCAAGTTGCACACTGCCTTGTCTTTGATTACATTGTTTTATTTAAAATTGTCGTGGCAAAAGATAATTATTGGGGCTGCTTCTGGGAAGAATCTTGAACCGATATGGCGCCTGCTCATGCAAGTGTCAAAATCAACATGTTTTCAAATGAGATTACAATGAACGGTATAACATATTTCAGAACTATTATTTGCCATTTCCTAAAACTATTTTTATTATTTTGTATTGAGATAAAATGAAATAAAGAACACTTTCATGATTTGTGTTTAATTAAGCTTCATTTTGGTAATCATTAAAGGATACAAATAAGGTATTAAACATCTGTATGGAAGTAAACTCAGAATCCACCTGAAAATTCAGAAATATTTAAAGATATATTCAATTCGTGATTTTAAAGCTAAAATTGTGTTTAAGCTAAAACATTATTCTTTAGTTTACCAGGTTTTTTGAGTGAGTATCAACAAACAATCAACACAGACCAGCACCCTCACCTCTAAAGTTCATGATTATCAGTGTAGAAGTAATTTAAGTGTTCTCTTACGGCAAGCTTCTGGGAGTTGGCAGACCGCCATAATCAATGGCAATCAACTCCAATTGCTACTCCAGTGATTAGTAAATCATCCTGGGCAACAGGATTAATCAATTATGAATAAATA